CCTCCCCCGGACGCGGGCCCAAATGGCCCCGCCCCAATGGGTCTCCCGGTCGCGGCCGGGCTGCGACAGAGCCTGGATTCGAACCAGGATCTCTCTAGTGGCACAGTTTGCACTGCGATGCGGCGCCTTAGACCACTGCGCCACTCAATGAGCCATCACTCAGACCGCTATGAGCCATCACTCAGACCTCTATGAGCCATCACACGAACCACATTGTAAAAATGAGTACTTAGAATGTAATTACACTGTACCTACACTTCCTGCTATGTAAATACATGTATTAAGGACACTTACTTCCTGTCCCCAGCTGAACGTGGAGGCCAGTGACTTCCTGAAGGACTTGCAATTAAAGCTCAACAACGTCATGGACGACCTTAGTAGGATCTTCGCCGTCAGGTATGTGTGTGTGTGTGTGTGTGGTGTGTGTGTGTGTGTGTGTGTGTGTGTGTGTGTGTGTGTGTGTGTGTGTGTGTGTGTGTGTGTGTGTGTGTGTGTGTGGTGTGTGTGTGGAATCATTTAGTTGAAACATGGTGCTTTCAGGGTTGTATTCATTAGAACACGCAACGGAAAACGTTGGTGCCAAAAGGATACAGCCCAGAGTTGTGGGTTTTGATGGTTGTCTGTGTGTCTGTCTGGATATATACTGAACAAAAATATAAACGCAACATGCAACAATTTTAATGATAGTTACAGTTCATATAAGGAAATCAGTCAATTGAAATACATTCATTAGACCCTAATCTATGGATTTCACATGACTGGGAATACAGATATGCTGTTGTCTGTGTGTCTGTCTGGATATAGTTTTCAGCCCCAGATTGAGGAGAATGTGAAGCAGATGGGAGATATCTTGGGCCAGGTGAAGGGACAGACTGTTACAGACAACAACAGCGTGGCCGGGGACGCAGATAACGTCCTGCAGCCCATCATGGACTTCCTCGACACCAAGTGAGACACAGAGACCGAGACGCGCACACACACATATGTTTTGGCTCACAAAGCACTTCAAAGGTGCCAAATTTGTCACATACACTACATGGCCAAAACTATGTGGACACCTGCTCGTGGAAAATCTCATTCCAAAATCATGGGCATTAATATGGAGTTGGTCTAATAAACTACTCAAATACACACAACCTGACAAAGAAAAGTCATAAACATATTTATTTGAGAATCATGTCACCTTCCATCCTTGTCTAGTCAAGTTTGGCCCTCTGGTAAAGTAGGCAGCAGTCTCGTCTGGGGGCCTGTGGGAGGGATGCACTCTATGCGGGTTGAGAGTCAGGGGCAGACCAGGCTGTGAATGCGATGTTAGGGTGACAAAGTCACAGTCAAAACAATATTGGAGTTGGCCTGAAAAAGGAAGTAGCAATGCAATCGCAGCGAGGTATTGGAACATATGATTATTGCTGCAAATTGGACAACCTGGGGGGATGGTGTTCAGCAGATGGTATATCCACATACATTATCTATGTAGTCGTTTCAATGGGAGAAACCAAGGGTTTATTCAGTGTACATCAAGGAAAACCTGTGATGTTAAACTGTAAGAGGTTTGTTATACTGATGCTAAGGAAAGGGGTGAATCATTAATTGCTAATAAACTGTTATAGTTGGTTGGCTGTAGATGGTTTATGCAATCTATTGAAGTTTAAACAGGTTGAAAATGCACACTCCCTCCCTCAATCCCTCCCTCCCTCCCTCTCTCCCTTCCTTCCCTCCCTCCCTCCCTCCCCACCCTCCCTCCCTCCCTCCCTCCCTCCGCTCCCTCCCTCCCTCCCTCCTCTCTCTTAAACTGTAAGTGTTTGTTATACTGATCTAAGAAAGGGGTGAATCATTACTTGCTAATAAACTGTTATAGTTGGTTGGCTGTAGATGGTTTATGCAATCTTTTGAAGTTTTAAAAGGGTTGAAAATGATCCACACTCACGAACTCCGATCTCTCTCTATCTCTCTATGCTCTCTCTCTCTCTCTCTCTCTCTCTCTCGCTCTCTCTCTCTCTCTCTCTCCTCTCTCTCTCTCTCCCTCCCTCCCTCCCTCCCTCCCTCCCTCCCTCCCTTGCATGGGTGTACTAAGGTGCATGTATTCTCTCCTCTATAGCCTGTCGCTGTTTGCTAAGATCTGTGAGAAGACTGTGCTGAAGAGAGTGCTGAAGGAACTGTGGAAACTGGTCATCAACACTATGGAGAAAAGCATTGTGCTTCCACCGTTCACAGACCAGTCGGTGAGTAACACACACACACGTACACACGTACACACACACACACATTTTCTTATGTCTACAAACCTGAGCATAATTCTCTTCCATACATTATCTTCCAGTCTTTTTAAATTATTTTCCATGGTATAATACAGTATCTACCATTCATTTATAAATATGATGTTCTGGTTAGAATCCAAGGTTGTGAACGGGCCCATTGGCTAGAATAAGAGGTAGAGGATTCAATGGTTACTTCCTGGTTGTTGATTTGTTGAGATGGGCCTGTGCAGATTCACTGACCCCCTCTCTCTCGCCATCGCCCCACCCTCTCCTCCTCAGGTTATAGTAAGTACTGTGTGTGTGTGAGTCTGTGATGTGTGTGTGAGTGTGTGTGTGTGTGCGCGCTCGTGTGAACAAGTGTGTGTGTGTGTTTCTCCCTGTATGATGTCTGTCAGCACGGACACACAGAGTCCTCTGCTACCTGTGACATCACTCCTCTTGTCCCCCATGCTACTCTGTGTAACCCCCTCCCTGTCTCAGATGTATCCCAAGCTCCTAGGCCCACTTGTATAACTCCAGAAGGATTGGGTTGTTGTAAGCAGTAAAGCTAACACCTATCCACTCCCTCCAGATCTACATGAGTGACTAGTGGGTAGGGGGAGAGGGCTTGATTTGAGTGCATTGTCTAGTGTCATTATCAAACCCTGTCCGTATGTAGAATGAGAATGGGTGCAACGGCTGAGCGATGGGAATACCTGAACCTGGTGGCACAGCTGTATACAGCAAACCTTAATACCCCTCCTTGCTTCATATCCTACCATACCTTAGGGTTCCTAAAAATTAGTATATCCTTGTCTCATCTCTTAGTCTCCTTTCTATAGTCTACTTTTCATCCTCCTTAGTCTCTCTTTCTTAGTTCTCTCCTCCTAGTCTCCTCTTCCTCCCTCCTTAGTCTCATCTATCCCCCTAGACTATCTTCCTCCTCCTAGTCTCCTCTTCCTCCCTCCTTAGTCTCCTCTTCCTACCCCTTAGTCTCCTCTTCCTCCTCCTTAGTCTCATCTTCCTCTCTACTTAGTCTCTTTCCTCAGTATTCTGCTACTTAGTCTCATCTTCTCCCCTTAGTCTTTCTTTCCTCCTCCTTAGTCTCCTCTTCCTCCCCCCTTAGTCTCCTCTTCCTCCCTCCTTAGTCTCCTCTTCCTCCCCTTAGTCTCCTCTTCCTCCTCCTTAGTCTCCTCTTCCTCCCTCTAGTCCTCTTACTCCCCTTAGTTCCTCTCCTCCCCCTTAGTCTCTCTTCCTCCTCTTAGTTCTCCTCTTCCTCCCTCCTTAGTCTCCTCTTCCTCCCCCTTAGTCTCCTCTTCCCCCCTCCTTTACCTCTGTCTCATATTTTTCTCCTTGTCACGTTTTTCTTTTAGAAGGAACGTGTCCTTCCGCTACAGTGTTGCCTGTATGTTGAATGGATTGGAGGTTTCCACACAACCCCGTACTGGATTTGAAACCTCTCCTGCACATGTCTTTTTTCCCCATTCTTTATTGTGACATGTTTAACTACATGTATGTGTCATTTGTACTCTCCTCATCTTCTTCAAACAACTCTCCCCCTCCTCATGCTCCTCTCTCTACACCTCTTTCCCAACCCTCTTCCCTCTCTTCTCTCATCACCATCACCCCTCTCTCTCGCTCTCTTTCTCTCTCATGCTCACTCTCTCTCTCTCTGTCTCTCTCACTCTCCCAACCTCACACTCTCTCTGTCTCTCACTATCGCTCTCATTCTCTCAACCTCTCTCTCTCTTTCCATCACAGGGCACTCAGATGATCTTTAATGCAGCTAAGGAGTTGGGCCAGCTTTCCAAGCTCAAGGTAATTATGATGACACATTAGAAAGAGTTCCTTTCTTGATTTCTACAGCATGTTTCATATAAAATGCAGTCCTGTCATGCATTGTGTCGTATTAACTACATTGTTGCATTAACTCTGTTGTCTGTTTCCCGGTACACTGCAGGAGCACATGGTGAGAGAGGAGGCCAAGGCTCTCTCTCCTAAACAGTGTGCCATCATAGAGCTGGCATTGGACACCATTAAGGTACTGTATACTATATGCAGTATGTATAACATGTGTACTATGTACTGTGCAGTAAATAGTATGTGTCTGCTACTGTATGCAGTATGTAGTACATTGAAAATAACTGTCAAACATAAAGCTACTTAAAGCATCCAGGTATGATGCTTCATAACTTGTTATAAGCATGTATGAGCCGTTGTGATGTCTTATAACAAGGGTTGGACTATGTTACATCTCTCTAAGGATAAATAACAATGCCTGTTGACCTCTCCCCCTGCAGCAATACTTCCATGCGGGTGGTGTGGGTCTGAAGAAGACGTTCCTGGAGAAGAGTCCTGACCTGAAGTCTCTGCACTATGCCCTGTCCCTCTACACACAACACACTGATAAACTCATCAGGAAGTTTGTCCTCTCACAAAATGCTCAGGGTACGTCACCCCCTCTGTCTGTCTGGCTAGTGGTCTGGCTGTCTGGCTGGCTGGCTGGCTGGCCCCTCTGGCTAGCTGGCTGGCTAGTGGGCTGGCTAGTGGGCTGGCTGGCTGGTAGGCTGGCCGGCCGGCTGGCTCGCGGGCTGTGTGTCTGTCTGTCTGACTGACTGGCTGGCTGTTTGTCTGTCTATCTGCCTGTGTGTCTGATATCTTTTTGAATGCTAACTGTCATTGTGAAATTTGTTAAAATAATACATCCTACTGAAGTCTCTTCTCTTCCACTCTCTCTCTGCTAGTCCATGGAGGGAAGGGGGTTAGGTATACCCTCAACGAAGACACATTACCAGAAAAGGGTAAGTGCCTGTGACCGTGCATACCCCCACCCACCCCTCAATTTCTCCCTCCCTCTCCTTCTCTCTACATCTATCCATTATAAACAGGTCCATTATAGTTGGATAGGTCTAGAGAGGCCAAGCTACAGGTGTTTTCAGGAGAATTACCATCAATTAGTGAATTACAGTATTGTCTGCAAGTCTGTAGCTTGGCCTTAACCCTGGTACTAAACCTTGCCCAGACAAGCCCTGCTCGTCTCATTACCAAGAGGTGTGTGTTTTAGTACCAATCGTTCCGTTTATTTAGTTTAATTAGTTTACATCCCTATTAGTGAGCATTTCTCCTTTGCCAAGATAATCCATCCACCTGACAGGTGTGGCATATCAAGAAGCTGATTAAACAGCCTGATCATTACACAGGTGCACCTTGTGCTGGGGACAATAAAAGGCCACTCTAAAATGTGCAGTTTTGTCACATAACACAATGCCACAGATGTCTCAGGTTTTGAGGGGAGTGTGCGATTGGCATGCTGACTGCAGGAATGTCCACCAGAGCTGTTTCCAGAGAATTGAATGTTAATTTCTCTACCATAAGCTGCCTCCAACATCGTTTTAGAGAATTTGGCAGTACGTCCAACCGGCCTCACAACCGCAGACCACGTGTAACTACGCCAGCCCAGGACCTCCACATCTGAGGGGGGTGCTGAGGAGTATTTCTGTCTGTAATAAATCCCTTTTGTGGAGAAAAACTCATTCTGATTGGCTGGGCCTGGCTCCCCAGTGGGTGGGCTTCCAAGTCGGTAGGCCTATGCCCTCCAAGGCCCACCCATGGCTGCACCCCTGCACAGTCATGTGAAATCCATAAATTAGGGCCTAATGAATTTATTTCAATTGACTGATTTCCTTATATGAACTGTAACTCTAACTATTTTTGTTCAGTGTCTATATACTAGATATTAGGAATATCTTTCAAACAAAAAATAACATTATTAACCGTTTTTTTCTATTTTCTTTTTTAAATGGACACACACACAGGAAATGGACACACACAGGAAATGGACACACACAGGAAATGGGCACACACGCACACTCTTTAATCAGGGAATGGACAATAGAGTAGAGGATCCCAGTGGTGGAACGATCCAAATGTCAGACACACACAGATTTATCAGCCTGTCTTTGCTTTACTGTACATTAAACTAGCCTGTGTCAGGGGGTGTCAGAGGGCTCTGGTCAACAGCAGTGATCTCAACTCTGTGTGTCTGATGTGGTGGTTAACCCTTGACCTCTGGCAGGGTCGGGAGTGGAGGAGCCAATCGGAGAGGTGGTAATGCACGTGGAGATCTTCACCCACCCCAACACTGGAGAACACAAGATCACTGTGAGAGGTGAGAGCGGAAGGGATGGAGGGAGGGGCTGAGGGGGGAGGGAGGGGCTGAGGAGGAGGGAGGGGATGAGGGGGGGGGGGGGGGGGGGGGGGGGCTGAGGGGCTGAGGGGGATGGAGGGAGGGGCTGAGGAGGGAGGGAGGGGCTGAGGGGGGGAGCGAGGGGCTGAGGGGGGATGGAGGGAGGGGCTGAGGGGGGAGGGAGGAAAGGCAAAAGAGAGGGAGGGATGAAAGGGGAGGGGTAATGTGGAACGGGAGTGCGTAAGGTAGGGTTGAAGATGGGCTTTACATGCGTTCTAATTGCACTAGACTTGAGCTTCTTTGAAATGCACTACAAACTAGCTACAAACTAGCTACAAACTACTGTAGCTACAAACTAGCTACAGCACATGTCATTTGTACTCTCCTCATCTTCTTCAACCCCTCCTCATGCTCCTCTCTCTACACCTCTTTCCCAACCCTCTTCCCCCTCTTCTCTTCTCTCATCACCATCACCTCTCTCTCTCTCTCTCTCTCTCTCTCTCTCTCTCTCTCTCTCTCTCTCTCTCTCTCAGTGATTGCTGCTAATGACATTAAGTGGCAGACCCAGGGGATCTTTCGTCCCTTCGTGGAGGTCTACATCATTGGTCCCCACCTCACTGACAAGAAGAGGAAGCACGCCACCAAGTCCAAGAACAACAGCTGGTCACCCAAGTTCAACGAGACCTTCCAATAGTGAGTATATCAGGTCTCTGTCTGGTGGTGGGGGGGGGGGGGGGGGGATGTGTGTGTGTGTGTGGAGGGGGGGGGGGGGTCTGTGTGTGTGTGGAGGGGGGGGGGGGGGGGGTCTGTGTGTGTGTGTGTGTGTGGAGGGGGGGGGGGGGTCTGTGTGTGTGTGTGTGTGTGTGTGTGTGTGTGTGTGTGTGTGTGTGTGTGTGTGTGTGGGGGGGGGTCTGTGTGTGTGTGTGTGTGTGTGTGTGCGCGTCAATGTCAATATGTGTGCATTATCTAACAAACCTCTCATCTGTCTCCTCTCTAGTTCCCTGGGCAGTGAGTTGGGTCCGGAGGGCTATGAGCTTCAGGTGTGTGTGAAGGACTACTGCTTCGCCAGGGAGGACCGTACAGTGGGCATGGCCCTGATGCAGTTGAAGGACATGTCCTCTCGGGGTAGCATGACGTGCTGGCTCCCCCTGGGGAAGAGGGTCCACATGGACGAGACGGGCCTGACGGTACTGAGGATCCTGTCCCAACGCAACAACGACGACGTGGCCAAAGAGTTTGTCAAGCTCAAGTCAGACCAGCGCTCTGCCGAGGAGGGACGGGCGAGCTGAGAGGGAGAGTAGAGATAGGCCTAGTGATCAAGATACTGATGCAGACACACACACACACACAGTTACAGCACCACACACAGAGTTACTAATACAATACTGGCATGTTTATGTCATACAAACACAGTCATGAACACACTAATAATCTATAATCACATAATGATTAGCACATGTGCCCAAACTCAGAGGTGGCCAACAGTTCCTTCTGCCATAGATTTATTTTGAACACCTATCAATGAATGAATCAATTTATCAATCCATTTCTACTGCTCTCTCTCTCATTTTCTCTCTTTCACTCTTGCATATTACACGTTTTATATACATTTAATGCAGAAATGTGTGAAACAAATATCACCTGATGAGTTATAGAGGAGTTATAGAGACAGACGACTTTGCACTTTGACCTCTCTGCATGTTCAGGAGGGCAGCCCTAAACCCCAACTCTTACTTCTCTGTCTGTTCCTGTTAGTCTGTCTGTGGGTATATCAGTGTATCGTTCTCTTTCGCTGTCTTTCGTTATCTCTCCGTTGTGCTCAGTCTTCCTGTCGTGTGATGTGCTCTGGGTAGAAGTTGACCTCAGGCACACATCTAGGATCAGCTCATACCCTTGTCCTAGCTTTGCCTATTAGGGAGGGGGAAATGTAACACTGATCATAGATCAGTGTCTGGGGCCAGCTTCATCTTACCTCGTGTGATGATGTACTTCCTGCATGTTGAACCCAATTCTCAGAACACTGTGATTAATTAGCTGTTACCACAGCAACAGCTGTACAGACCCCTCCCCCTACTGACACTTGACACCTTATACCTGTGTGCACGGTGCATATAACCTGGTATAATAAGGGTTACCATAATAATAACCTTCACAGAGGTAACCATAACCATGAAGAAAACTACTATACAGTAAAAAACTAAGTGAGAAAAGAAGAACGTGCCGATGTTTGATATGAATGTGTATTTTGGATGATTGTAAGCCACGCCAGTCTTTCACATGGGTAGAGGGTAGCCTAGGTTTGGATCAGAGTTGTTGGATGTTAGTCAGCTTGTTTGGAACACACCATATGACCATATTGTATATAGACACTGAGATGGTGCCGCAGACCCAAACATGTACCTTTTGAAGATGGTCTTTTAACATACTCACCTACCCTAGCAATGGCTCTGGCCTGACATTACTGTAAAGGAGTAATACTAGCCAATAGATGGTTGATTCAACCCCTCACAAACCCCCTTCTATGTTCCCTTGAAAGTGCACAAATACTGCAAAGGGCTACAGGACCAGCAGACATAGACATTACTGAAGGGACACACTGCCTGGTCACACTACCCATCTGTGTTTGGGAGAATTTAATAAATATGTTTTCTGTGCTATGGGCCATATGATTATACTAACCCATAGGCTACTATATACAGTGAGCTCCAAAAGTATTGGGACAGTGACACATGTTGTTGTTGTTTTGGCTCTGTACTCCAGTACTTTGGATTTGAAATGATACAATGACTATGAGGTTAAAGTGTCAGCTTTCATTAGAGGGTGTTTTCATCCACATCGGGTTATTACAATTATTACATCAAGCTTGTGACTCTACAAACTTTTTGGATACATTTGCATGTTTGTTTTGGTTGTTTCAGATTGCTAACTGCTAACCTCCCCTGTTATTGTAATGGTGAGAGGTTAGCATGTCTTGGGGGTATGATATATGTGCGTCTGTAACTCTCTCACTCATCATTATTCACAATTAATTCAGGATTATCCGTAATCATGTTAGCATCCACATTAATTTAGAAGTGTTTAGAAACATATTATATTATTATTTTCAATAAAGGTTACTCTAAAATGACACAATACATTATTTACCATTAATTTTTATTGGCCACAAAATTATCTGAAACACCACCAAAACAAACAGAAAATGGATCCAACAAGTTTGTATAGTTACAAGCTTGATGTAATAATTGCGTACTAGTAATATGGGACCAAATACTAAACTTTTGACTACTTTAATACATATAAAAGTGAATTTGTCCCAATACTTTTGGTAATTTCTAAACGGTTCACCCGATATGGATGACAATACCCTCAAATTAAAGCTGACAGTCTGCACTTTAACCTCATAGACATTGTATCATTTCAAATCCAAAGTGCTGGTGTACAGACCCAAAACAACGTGTCACTGTCCCAATTATTTTGGAGCTCACTGTATACCATAAGGTCACTACAGAGCAACTGCATGGTCTCTCTGACTGCCATTTCAGTCATCTGATTATGTGTTTTTAAGGCAATACCTATTTGTCTGTTTTGACAATTTGTCCCTGCATTTTTCTGACGAAAAGCTTCAGCCCGTTTTGGAGTATGGCTGTGTGTGTGTCTGTCTTTGTCTGTCTTTTCTGTCCTACCTGATTTCTGGGCTCAGAGTTTATTTGTGGTATGTAGACCCAAGCAATATAATCCCAACGTAATCACTGGAAACCTGTGGCATTCCCAGGAATTCCAACTGCAATACCCAGATCCAAGGAGTGGAATGCCAATCCCACATTTTATTGAATCACTGAGTGGGAAACTCCCTGTTATAATGGACTCATCTCAATTTCCTTCTCATAGAACGTGTGTGTGTTTTTCTTGGCATACTGGGAATACTTTGGGAATAATGTACATACTGTTCAGTCAGCTCCTGGTCGGACTTTTCCAGAGGATGACTTTGCAGAGATTGTGATGAATGGACCAACTCAAACAGACCAGCTAGTGATTTTCAAAGACTCATGTTGGCTAGTAGAAGTGTCAACGCACAAGCCATCGTAGTAGTTTAATAATACGTGGGGGGGGGGGCACAATAATCAACACAACCCCTCTATATAGCAACCACCCACTCAGCATGTCAAGGCTTATCTTACTGGACTGAAAACCCCCCTATGTTACTCACAGACCTGTCTGTCCGTTTTCTGGAACAGTCCCACAACGTTTATCGCCGGCAGGTAGCCTAGCGGGTAGCGCATTGGGCCAGTTACCGAAAGGTCACTGGTTCAAATACCCGAGCCAACAAGGTGAAAAATCTGTCAGTGTGCCCTTGAGCAAGGCACTTAACCCTAATTTGCTCCAGGGGCGCCGAACCCAACCCCTCCCGTTTTCAACTATGGCTGACCCAGTAAAACAACACATTTCACTGGACCTATCCAGTGTGTGACAATGCTTTTATTACCTTTTTTACAATGCAAATGCCATATGGGTGTTGGCACAAAACGCTTCTATTGTGATGTTTCTGCTTGTTGTACATGAGTTTGAATCAACTCTAGAGCTTCTGCTGCTATTTTCACAGCTAGAGAGCAACATGGACTGTGTGAGAGCTAATACATTGCTGTTATGTTTTTGTTTTTATCTTTTGACCTTCTGTTTAACCAAAGGCAAGGCTTCTGAATGTCATTTCACATCACAGGATCATGACAGCTGACAGTACTGGTAGTGGTGCCTCTGATAGTAAATGTATCCCTTAATTTAACTCCAAGAACCTGCTGTTTCTTACCACTTACAGAAAGACTACACACACATGCACATATACACACACTAACATACGCGCAAGCACAAAAGGGCACAAGTGAGATAACATGCATGCACGCCACCACATCTCCATGGAGACCAAGTGATGCCCACCCTGTGAATAAAAATAAATACCAGTGCATGAAGGGAAAATGAACTTTATCGTGCCAGCACGCGTCTCTTTGATGTTACCAATAATGGGATTTTTTTTTCTCTTTTCATTTGAATACCTATGTAATAATAATTAATTATAACATTTTATTTTTTAAACAGCTTGTGAATACATACAAATATTTAACCAATATGAATGTAGCGTGTACACGGAATTCGCATGAGAGAATTATTTTCTACTGAGGATGTTTCTAATTTGTTTCTTATCATTACGATTGATTGTTCTTTATCTAGAATGAAGGTGGGTTAGAATGCAGCCTGGTTGTGCACTGCTTCCTATTAAAAGGACATTTGTGTCTATCTGCCATTTTCTGTGCTTTATTTTCTCTTCTACTACAGAGCATCGCTGACGCTCAATGATTACGTGTAAAAATATACACTGTCCTTCCTATCTCCTCTGAATGAGAGAGCTTTAGCAAGCTACAGTATGCACATCTTCCCATCATTCATAGCCCCTGGCTGATATCTACTGCCACCATGTGGTGGAATGAGAGATGACAACAGGTGCCCAACTTGGGATAAAAAAAGAGTTAGTTCACCCATTTTTAAAAGCTACTTGTTTCATTACCTTGAAAGCAGTCTATGGACATCCATGCTTCGGTTTTGTTAACCTAGCCACTGTCCTCAACTACTTGCTTTAGCATGTTCGAACCACCCCAAATAAGCATTCTTAAAATGTCATGCCCTATCCCAGGGATATGCAAATCTTACCCTACGAGGTGCGGACTACTGGGGTGCGTTCAGTTTGCTCGAACATTTGCTACGTTGCGGAACAGTTTGTACTGTATGACACGTTCTCCCAAAATGTTTTTGTACATTCTTGAACAGAGATACGTTTGCTCCGTTCAGTGGGTGTGCCTTGAAGCAATGAGTAATGTATTTAAAGGGCAGCGGTGAATGTTGAACCCACAACCCAACCCTTCCCGTTTTCAACTGGTCGTTCAATTACGTTATGTACCGAATGTGGCCCTGGTTTTCTGATCTACCTGATAATTAACTGCACCCACCTGGTGTCCCGGGTCTAAATCTGAATAGCGGGGAAGAATAACTACGTCTGCGTTTAGACTGGCAGCCCAATTCGTTTTTTTAAAAATCCCCGGATCGGATTGGTCAAAAGACCAATTAGTGAAATAAAAAAATCAGAATGGGCTGCCTGTGTAAACACAGCGTGTGGAAGGCAAGGTAAGCCCCTTACTAGTTACTACTCTACAGTCAAATCAAATCACATGCGCCGAATACAACCTTAACGTGAAATGCTTACTTACCTCTTATTTTCTTAACTGCGTTGTTAGTTGTAAGACATTTTTTGCTAAATAAACTAAAGTAAAAGGTGAAATTGTGGTATTCTGACCATAAAGTAAAGCTAAAGAGAGGCGAAAGAAAATACAAAACACAATAGGGTTTTACAGTAAAAAATGAAACCAAAAACAAGATTTTATTAAAGAAGCATAAAAAATAAAACTCTTGATACATTTCTCATAACCGTCAAGTCAGCTCAAATGATATGGGTATACAATTGTTCTGGCACACGGTTAAAAGGTCCATAAACTTTCAAATAAAATATATTTCAATTTAAAAATGTCTTCAATAATTTTTTCTCATTTTGTTATAAAATTGGCTATATGTTGTACACAGGAAATAAAGAAAAAAATAAGGAAAATAAAAAATCATTTTGAAGTAATAAAAAAGAGTCACATTATTGTCTGGGATATTTGGGTAAGCAAATAAATTGTAAAAATAAAAATGTGTAAAAAGATTTTTCTTCCTCTTAAAAATTATTAGCTAATGCCTGATGGCTTGAATACATGCATATGGTTAACTTACAAATAATTATACATGTTTTTAAAAACTACACTTAACTTCATTACTTAAGTCTGGTAACTTTTTTGAAATGAGATCCCATTGATTGTATTCAGGGTATATACATACAAGTCAGGCCTGAAACCTTGTTTGCTGACGTAACATTTTGGTTCTGAGTACAAAAAGAATTAAAGCAAAATAGAAAGGCGGAGTTCCAGGGGGAGCGGCATGCCCAGATAGGCGCGGCACTCTCTGGGTCCACCTCTGTCACAAAAAGGTCAGAGGTCATTCCTTAACGAGCCTCTATAAACCCTGTTTTCAAACCTAAAAGGGGAGGGGGCGAGGTTAAGTTCAGCAAAAAAGAAAAAAACAATGCAGAATATGGGAATATTCTGTACCTTTTAACTGTTTATGTTACTGTACATGACCACAATGCTCTGGACCATGGGTGAAGAGTTCGCTAGTGAAACAACCAGACCAGAACCTATACCAGAACCACCTGGCAAATTCAACTCAGGACATTTTAGTGACAGAAGTTATGGTCAGTTCTGGAAAAGGGGCCCTTTTAAGATTGGCCTACATTTAACACTAAAGGAGATAGACTATAATTGTTGTGTGTATATGTTCCTTTAAAGACATGGTCACATCCTCCCCTGCACCTAACTTGTGTCTGCAGGAGCAGAGAAAAACTAAACCTTTGACATCAGGCCCAGCAGGGACGGGTTGCCAGTTTATACAGATCGATCACTCTCACGTTGAGGGGAGAGAAAAAGAGACCACAGGGTCAGGGTAGCCAGTTATACAGTTAACTCCCTAAAAGAGGAGCTGGAGAGGGGACGCTGTGCTGCCGTACATGGCCGTTCCTTTTTTCTAAAAACAGTATCTGTGTCAGTAGCAAGTTTGCACCAAAGCACCATTAGAGTAGTCTTCAGTGAAATGTGACTCATCAGTCGGCTACTAGCTCCACATCTGTGGACATGGAGGGCCTTTTCAAGTTGGGAGCATTGTTGTGTAGCTAAATGTGGAGGGTTGACTATTAGATTACAGATTAAGACGTCAAGCCGCTGTCCCCTTCACTTGGCTAGCTCATTTAAAGTCAGGCATCTTAGACACATAGAAGTGGTTTGTTAAAAAGTAGCTCGGCTTGAGCTACGTGAAGAGTGTTCGTTCTCTTGAAATGCATCCTTTACTTCCCCCTCCCTGAAGGCAGTCACTGATCTGAAGTGACATTATTGCTAGGAACACCTGTCCACACATGGTAGATCAGTGGATAGTACCTCAAGGTGTGAGGGGGAAAAGGAAAGCTGCAGTTGAAAAGTATTGGAACTTCTGTTCATTTGTTCACAGGCCATGGACGTGAATTAGAAGGACCGGTGCTAACAGGGTTGACCAGTGAGACAGACCGGTGCTAACAGGGTTGACCAGTGAGACAGACCGGTGCTAACAGGGTTGACCAGTGAGACAGACCGGTGCTAACAGGGTTGACCAGTGAGACAGACCGGTGCTAACAGGGTTGACCAGTGTTCTATAGACGTAGACCAGAGAGAAAAGAACAAGCAACACATTCTGCAGCTGTTTGGGTTTAAACACAGAGTCTGGAAGCCCTGGATGAACTAGCTACTAGCTGCCATATTGGATACGTTGATTACTCTCGCTGTTGTCACCGATGAGAATGTGAACACCTGAAAATGTCACGTGTATGCAGTCATAGGAAGCCCTTTTTTGGGATCTTGTTTATCATGGCTTGTCTCATTCTATGAATACATCCGTACGTACGTTCAAAAGGGCTACATACAACAACCGTGTACCGTACCATCATACCAAAACCAACCTGTCCACATCATACTTAAAAACACCGTAGGAGAGAGGCAGTTGATGTGAACTTACTAGAAAGACAATACACACAAAACATATCTCCAGGGATGCCACTGCCACTTGGGCAGGGTGATCTGGGGTTAGACTAGGAGACAAAGAGCTTAGCTGGGGGAGGGGCTAATAACATTACAATGTGTCGCTCAAGGTTTGCAGTGCACAGAGAGACGGCTCATTCTGACGCCCCCTGATACTTGGGACCGGCCACCTCGCCTTAACCAAGTTCGCTATTGGCAGAGACATTCCTGTGTGTGACATCACCAAGACCAATATTCTCCTGTTGGACTTCAACCATGCGGTTGAGAGAGAGAGACAGAGAGACAGAGAGACAGAGAGAGACAGAAGTCAGGGGCAAACTGGGCCACAGTCTACAGTGAAAAAGCCTAAATTAATCTAAAAAAGACATTAGCTGTCCAAAGCCAACTGTATCATATAGAAGATCTGCGTAGACTGTGGATGGCTAGGTGTCTACACTGAGCTCAGCAAGGGGAAGAAAGAGGAATGGAGCCAAAAACACGACATGTTTGTTTCAATTACACATTCTGTTGTCAGCTGAGCCGTCGACATGGAATCAAACAGTAGCGTTTAATACAAGGCTTGGCTCTGCTTCATTCAATCTAACCAGAAACAAAGCCCAACTCTGGAACTATTGAAGGAGAGAGAGGAGGGTAGAGGGAGATGGGAAGAGAGAGGGTTTGAGAGAGAGACAGACCAACGGGGACTGAGTAACTGACCTATGGCATTAGTTCTGATATTCCTTAAATAACTTAAAACTATATTATTCCTATACTGGTTGTTAAAACCACGACATTGAATATCAGTTTTTGAACAGTATAAATATCTTAAGTGTTTCAGTCTTCATTCATAACATCTATGAGGTCCCTCAGCCTTGTTTGGTCTCATAGGTGTCAATTTCTGTGCCTGTTTCAAAGTCAGTTCCAGGCTCATACCACAATACCAAAGCCCTATACTACAGCATGAGAAAGAGCGAGAGAGAACAGAGAAGACCAGAAAAACTGCGTTTTGTATCCTGTCAAATAACATTGAAAAGAAAACAGTAGAAAAGTGCAGGTCTAGGCAGCTCCGTTGAAAAATATCTGTTATTAAGTACAAAAGTGGCAAAGGAAAAGGCTTGTGAGAGAAGCAGGCAGAGATATCTGAAGAAGACGCGAAGGAATGAAAACTATACAGACAGGCAACCTAGAGGCCTGAAGAAAGTTAAGACACTGGTTTCCTTCCACACAAGTCCACCATGAAATCTCGATCCCAGCCCAACTGCTTCTGCAGTCCGCAGAATCAACCAAAATCAGTCAGTCTGGAAATAATATTCATTATTATTATTACTCCCATTATTGTTATCATAGTTATTATAATTAAATCAACATCCGTATAGTGTCATATTTCTAATATTGTAATCATTATAGTAAATCCTATTAGCAAAGAAGGTTGTTGGTGTCCGTCCCTCCACAGTTGATGCCCCACTGCAGTACTCTCGGATAGTAAGACAGTAAAAAAAGTTATTTTTTAAGATGCCACCCCTCCTCTCACCTCCTATTCTGTCCCCCTCCCTTCCCTTGTCTTTGGGTGAGGGTTCATTAGGAGAAGATGCGGATGCACTGTGTGGCAGGGATGTGGCAGACAGGGCATTCGGGCTCAGCGGACTGGCAGATCTGTCCGGCGCAGTCCATGCAGAAGAGGTTGTGGCCGCAGGGCACCAGGGCCGCTGTCACCTCGCTCTCAAAGCACACAAAGCAGTCCCTGCTCCCGCCCCCTGGCCCTACGCCAATCAGACCTCCAGCCCCAGAGCCTGCCGCAGCCTTCAGCCGGCCCAGCATGCCTGAGGCCAGGCCCACTCCACTGCCCCCACCCTCTGAGTCGGTGGGAGAGCCTCCGGGCAGGGAGGAGGCTGAGCAGGAGGAGTAACCGGTGGATGAGCCTCCGGAGCTGGAGCTAGATGCTCCAGAGATGGTCCCTGCACCGGTACCCCCCGACTGCAGCCAGGAGAGGGCGCTGAGAGGGTCGCTCTGGGCCCGACGGGCCAGCGGATGATCCAGGGGTCCCACCACGGCGTCGGGGGGCAGGGTGGGGGACAGGCGGGGTGTGATGGCGCCTCCGCTCAGGCCGCAGCTGTTTCGGCGGAGAGGCTGCTGCTGAGAGGAGCCTGGGGCCTTCCCTCGTCCTCCATTGACGAAGGGGGCCCAGATGTTGGCGGCGCTGAACTCAAAGCCCAGCTCCTCAGAGGGGAGGCCAGAGGTAGAGTCGCCCCCGAAGGTGAACCCCCCCCCTCCACCGGCGCTGCTGGAGCCTGTGCTGAAGGGGCTGGTGGGGCTGCCTCCCTCTGTGGCCCTCCTGGGGGCGCTGTAGCTCTCAGAGCCCATCCCTCCCTTGTGTTGGTGGTAGGAGGCCGAGGAGGACAGCTTCCGCCCAGATGAGTGGTGCATGGCCAGGGGGAGTGGGGGTGGTGGAGGGGGAGGCGGGGGTGGAGGGGCAGCGTGGTGGTTGTTGGCCCGAGACCAGAGAGCGGCGCCCAGCGAGCCCAGGCCCTCTAGGCTGACATCGGTCCCGTTGGTGTGGAAGTCGTTGTCTCCCTGGAGGTCCACAAAGGCCCCGGTCCGCAGGGTGATGTGTGTCTCAATCTCCTCCCGGGCTCGGTCCACGTTCTCTGGCATGCCCGTCACCTCGAACACAGGGTCCTTCTCCCGGCTGGGTGTCACGATGTAAGTGTGGGTCTGCTGCTGGATGCGCTTGATGGTCGCTCCCTTGGGCCCCACCACTAACCCCACCACGCGGTACGGCACCCGAACCTGCACCAGGGGAGGAAATAAGAGTAAGGGTTTTCCAGACCACGTGACCTGACCAGGTAAAACTATGGAGGAGGAAATTACATACCCATAAAAACAAGTAATAATACATAATATGATAATAATAGCAATTCAAAATATATAATAATAATACAAATAATAAATGCCATTTAGCAGACCTTTATCAAAGGACAGTCATTGTGCAACATTTTTTTTTTGTGTATGTGTCACAGGGGATCGACCCACTACCTTGGCGTCAAGGCCGTCTCTACCAGCTGAGTACAGAGACACAAGGATGTATCCGCAGTTAATGCAAGCATAAGCAATTGCAACTGGCATTAAATGGAACTGAACGGTTGAGCACCAAGTATATAAAAGTAGCCGTTAGATATTACCATGACCTCTATTCAAAGAGGGTGCATTTTAGCCAACTGATATTTGTATATCTTCACAGGTGCTTGTGATGCTGGCTACTGGCAAAGTCTCCCTTGTCATAAAATAAAGATGACCATCTCAATGAAACTCACCTGGTTAAATAAACCACGAGCAAACAAAACAGTAGGCTACCGTATCTCCTACTGTGGTTGTCGTACCTGTATGGTGGTCTGTCCAGGCAGGTGTGGGGGTCCGGGGATTGCTCCCCCCGGCCCGGGTGCTCCTGTGCCCGCGGCCCCAGCCTTGCAGCGGGACGCCCGGATCATGGAGAAGTGCTCGGCCGCCGAGACGATCTCCCGCTTGGCCATCTCCACATCCTCCCTGCGCCCTGTCACGATGAACACGGGCTCCTCACCCCTCACCGGGGTCTTTATGTAGGTGTTTGTCTTTGCACGTAGTGCCTTGATCTTACAGCCTGGGACCAAGAGATATGGAAAGGCATGGAAGAGGGTAAATATAAAAATGTTGGCTAATTGTGTTTGGTGGAGTTGAGAATGAATCATTATTTTCAATAGGGGAATTTAAATGTAAAGTAATGGTTGTTTCATAAACTAAAAATGTATAATACATAATGTCAATAATATATGGCTACTGTGACTTTAACTTGATTGATTCAGATAATAGGAATTTGTTGGAGGTGCAAATGTTTACTAAACGGGATAAAATAATGATCTGGTTGGCAAACAGCCTGGCAAAAATACACTGCTCAAAAAAATAAAGGGAACACTTAAACAACACAATGTAACTCCAAGTCAATCACACTTCTGTGAAATCAAACTGTCCACTTAGGAAGCAACACTGATTGACAATAAATGTCACATGCTGTTGTGCAAATGGAATAGACAACAGGTGGAAATTATAGGCAATTAGCAAGACACCCCCAATAAAGGACTGGTTTTGCAGGTGATGACCACAGACCACTTCTCAGTTCCTATGCTTCCTGGCTGATGTTTTGGTCACTTTTGAATGCTGGCGGTGCTTTCACTCTAGTGGTAGCATGAGACGGAGTCTACAACCCACACAAGTGGCTCAGGTAGTGCAGCTCATCCAGGATGGCACATCAATGCGAGCTGTGGCAAGAAGGTTTGCTGTGTCTGTCAGCGTAGTGTCCATAGCATGGAGGCGCTACCAGGAGACAGGCCAGTACATCAGGAGACGTGGAGGAGGCCGTAGGAGGGCAACAACCCAGCAACAGGACTGCTACCTCCGCCTTTGTGCAAGGAGGAGCAGGAGGAGCACTGCCAGAGCCCTGCAAAATGACCTCCAGCAGGCCACAAATGTGCATGTGTCTGCTCAAACGGTCAGAAACAGACTCCATGAGGGTGGTATGAGGGCCCGACGTCCACAGGTGGGGGTTGTGCTTAAAGCCCAACACCGTGCAGGACGTTTGGCATTTGCCAGAGAACACCAAGATTGGCAAATTCGCCACTGGCGCCCTGTGCTCTTCACAGATGAAAGCAGGTTCACACTGAGCACATGTGACAGACGTGACAGAGTCTAGAGACGCCGTGGAGAACGTTTTGCTGCCTGCAACATCCTCCAGCATGACCGGTTTGGCGGTGGGTCAGTCATGGTGTGGGGTGGCATTTCTTTGGGGGGGCCGCACAGCCCTCCATGTGCTCGCCAGAGGTAGCCTGACTGCCATTAGGTACCGAGATGAGATCCTCAGACCCCTTGTGAGACCATATGCTGGTGCGGTTGGCCCTGGGTTCCTCCTAATGCAAGACAATGCTAGACCTCATGTGGCTGGAGTGTGTCAGCAGTTCCTGCAAGAGGAAGGCATTGATGCTATGGACTGGCCCGCCCGTTCCCCAGACCTGAATCCAATTGAGCACATCATGTCTCGCTCCATCCACCAACGCCACGTTGCACCACAGACTGTCCAGGAGTTACATTTACGTCATTTAGCAGACGCTCTTATCCAGAGCGACTTACAGTTAGTGAATACATTATTTTATTTTTTATACTGCCCCCCGTGGGAATCGAACCCACAACCCTGGCGTTGCAAACACCATGCTCTATCAACTGAGCTACATCCCTGCCGGCCATTCCCTCCCCTACCCTGGACGACGCTGGGCCAATTGTGCGCCGCCCCAAGGGTCTCCCGGTCGCGGCCGGCTGCGACAGAGCCTGGATTCGAACCAGGATCTCTAGTGGCACAGTTAGCACTGCGATGCAGTGCCTTAGACCACTGCGCCACTCAGGAGTTGGCGGATGCTTTAGTCCAGGTCTGGGAGGAGATCCCTCAGGAGACCATCCGCCACCTCATCAGGAGCATGCCCAGGCGTTGTAGGGAGGTCATACAGGCACGTGGAGGCCACACACACTACTGAGCCTCATTTTGACTTGTTTTAAGGACATTACATCAAAGTTGGATCAGCCTGTAGTGTGGTTTTCCACTTTAATTTTGAGGGTGACTCCAAATCCAGACAGATAAATTTGATTTCCATTGATAATTTTTGTGTGATTTTGTTGTCAGCACATTCAACTATGTAAAGAAAAAAGTATTTAATAAGATTATTTCATTCATTCAGATCTAGGATGTGTTATTTTACTGTTCCCTTAATTTTTTTGAGCAGTGTATATTCCCATTATGTAGGCCTGTAGCTTGTTAGCCTCGTAGCATGTCTAATGCTAAACCAAGAACCGCTGCAATGTTCCTTTAAATATGGACAGTTCGCTCTCACCCACCAATAGGGTGCGACGTGTGTGATGTCATTCTGGGAGGCAGAAAGCATGGCATTTTCAAACAAAGAGAACAATGCCATAACATAGCCACAACTGCGCTAGGCGCGCAAAGCATAGGCACTGTGTACATGTTAACTAGTGGTGAATATTGAGCTAAACGTGTGCGGAGATAAAATGTGTGTATATTTTCAAAACGGCCGAGAGCGGTCGACTGAGCTGGATGCGGGGCGAAAACACCGCCCAGTCCCATGTTCTGCGCGGCGGCCATCCCACAGCCTTGCTTTAGGGCTGTGGGATAAAATAACTACAAATCTACTTTGAACGTGGACGTCAATATAAACACCAGGCATCTTGTTTAACATTTGTGACGTCTGCCGTACATATCGCTAAATTATTCGATAGGTTTCTTTTGTTTGGTGCAGCCTGCTAGACATGTCCAGACTCTCGACAATCTGCGGCTTTGTCTGACCCTCTTCTACCCCTCCCCCTACCCATGCACCATACACACAGAGACACACACAACCAATAACATCTGTAGTTGATTCAACACTGTTGTAAGGACATGCAAATAAGGCTAGTTAGCCGTTCTATATATACATGTATTACGCGAGTAAACAACATCCACTGTACACATCAATAACAACTCACAACAACACTAGACGCTGATAAACTTCAGAGACATCTCACCATCCAAACAAAGGAAGGATATCTGGTGCATGGTCCTATGCATTCGTGGTTATGATAGGGGTAGTTGGTAAAAGCTAGACCCTAACATCTATAACATTAGCTAGAATATCTTATGAACTAGCTAGCTATGGCCAAACCACATAGGTAGACAACAGTGGGGAGAAATAACAAATTCTTACCTTGTCTTCCCACTATTTCAGCAACGTGTTCGGAGCTGGGCACAGGTACGCATTCGGTCATGTTGACACTCCTCTTGCGATTGCAGATAATGGAGTTTTGTTCCCCGAGCATGGAGTGAGAGTGCGGGCCAGCCATGTGGTACCCGCCCGATCCATAGTACTCTGGAGATGGGGAGCAGGACGTCGGGGAGTCCCGGGAGCCTCCTGGGTGCTCCAGCAACTGCAGGTTGACATAACCGCCGTTGCAATTCTCGGAGCCCGGTCCCTGGTTCCCGTCGAGCGGGTCAACGAGCCCCCCACCACCGCCCCCACAGTCCACCTTCTCCAGGGCCATAAGTGACAGCTGGTCCAGGGCGAAACGGAGCGCCTCCTGATGGTCCTCGTCCCGGGACTCCTGGTCCGTCTCTCGGGGCAGGCTGACCCCGTTGTGCTGGCTGCTCACTACCATGTCGTGGTCCATAATCTCGGGGTGGAATAAGGGGCTAGGCATAGTCCCCGAGGATGAACATCAGATCTGGGGTCGCCTGTGGGTGTAAAAGCGCTCTTTTCTGGGGAAGGCAAACAAAGAGAGTTTCAGCACAACACGTTTTGAGCCACGATACGTTTTAGAAAACGCACAAATTAAATGCACTGAAAGTTGTAAAAACATTTGATGTCATATAGCTAGTTAGTTCCATAACTAAATAGGTTACAGTGTGTTCCACTTGGGCGCCGTCCCCTTCAACTCTACTATACTGCTTTGTCTGTGTGTTGTTGCATTCTGTCACTGTCTTGCAAAAATAGGCTGTGTGTGACTGATTGGTTATCTTGTTGAAATAGGCATCATACATATTTTAGTAAGTCAATATTAAATATTCCTTAACACTGACCAACACTAGATCATTAACTTTTGTCTATTCAGTCGGTATCATCCCGAAAAAGGAGCATCAAATTTGGGAAAGCGCTAATCTGTTGTTAACTAGCTAAACGCTAACTAGCAAACTAGCTAGTTCCACAGTTGAGTCAGTCACGTTGTCGTCCCCTTTGTTTGGGAGTACCACAGCTAGCTAGCTAACGTTAGTTGGATAGCAGGCAGAAATACTTCAGTTCAATAATTTGTCCAAGCCAAATACTTTTTTTGGGGGGGGGGGATAAAATATCTTTAAGTTAATTTACCCTTTGGCAAACTCCCGATTTTATGAGTTCCTCTCTTTTGATTCTTGAAGGAATGGTGAGTGGCGACCAGTGCGCTAATGCTAGCTAGCTCGCTAAATTGGGGGCGTTGAAGAAAATGTTTAAAAACGAACGAGAAGGGACAGGCTGTTGATGGGATCCTATTCCAGACGGATATCGTTTTAGCGGCCCGTCATTTTTCGTATCGGTTCGTAGTCCATCATTACATTTCCATGCAGTTACCTCACGAAAATTGAATCTTGATCTTGCTAACCTCTTTCTCTTAGCTGTTCCCTGGTCCGCCGCCTTTGTCTCGCCAGGCGCACGCCGCTCTGCCTGTCTCGCACACAGAACTGACGTCATCCGAGACACAACAATGGGTTCAAAGGCCAAGGAACGTACGTCGCGATCGATATTATTATTATTTTATACCGCAGTGATTGTGCCTGTGAATAATTTTTCCCATTGGAAATTGATAAAGCAAATTATAAATCGTCTGATGCTTCGGTGTCAGTTTTTGAAAACGTGGTGGGAAATTGGCAGTTATGAATGCTATGGCGGTCACAATTTAAAGGCTGGGTAGAGTTGGTTATTGGGAGAATGGGGACAAAATAACCCATCAACCTAAAACCTCAACATTTTTGTCAAGGGTAGCAGTTCAATATCACCAACTGTATTTGAAGGTCTATAGCGAAATTAATGTCCCCGTTATTGTGTGGGTGCCTGTCAACCCCTTGAGGTTGACCAAATGGGACAATAACTGAATAATAGATGCCAGATTCCATGTAGTCTGGAATAAGAAATTAATTATCCATTATTGATTGCTATACAAACTCAGGCTTCTACATCTGAACCAGACAGGTCTGGTGATGAATCTTCTCCATCTGCGGATCTCACATACCAAGCAAGCATCTAAAAGAACACAACGCAGATGACAAAAGACTGCATTTATTTTTGTTATAGGAAAAAATAAATCAGACAGAAATGAATTGCTTGATGTTTGACCTACAATTTCTAAAAAGAGGCAATGGTAACAAATCTCTATGAGGAAAAATAAAATTTTTTTGCTACAAAGCATAATATTAACAATTACATTTCATGGGGGGCTTCCTACTTTTTCAGACATCTTCATATAACAGTGAATTATCTTCCCATTCATAACTCAAATCAAGAACAGGTTAAGCGAAACATTTCATAGCATTTAAAACCTAACAAAACAATCAATGTTAAATAACTATGGCATAATTGTGACTTGCCACAAAGCAAAGTTCTTTAAAAAAAAAAGATTAAAAATACTATATCCCAAATAGGCAACTATTTCAGAGTAGTGGAGCAGTCTATGTCAGCCGTCGCACATATTGACAGTTCATCAATGTAACATGAAAGCAAAAATACATCTACAAAGACGAGACCAGACAAAATTAGCACCATTTTGAACTTATAGGAGCGTATGAGCCATGCGAGTCAATTCAACCTCTGTGCAGAGCACCGCTCTTCACGACTATCCAGCCTACATCATTTGAAGAACACCAAACCCAATTAGATAGGGATAACAAGAGCTATAGGATATATCCTTTATCAGGTCATATGATGCACGTTTATCTATGACTGATTTGACACAATAGGTAGTCTTTTGCTAAGTCCGTTTTGAGCCTCCAACTGTTATCTTACAGCATGTGGTCCCTTGCCCAATCTGCGCCCCTCCAATTCTCCACTTGGGCAAATGACACTGAGTGGAACCAGGGCAACAAGACAGAGCTAGATGGAACCGTTCAAATGGAATGGACTGAGTGGTAACCCACAAACACACACTCTGTTCTTACTTCTCACGCTCTCGCGAAAACACACATGCACACACACACGTTTTCTCCCCCTTTCTCTGGCATGCACGCAGACAAACGTTAACTCTGTTTCGACTTCTAACTTGTTAAGACTATTCACAAAAGCGCAAGACTACGTTGTCTAAAGCACCATACATACTTGTCCACATTTCATACAATTACTGAGGGTAAAAATAAGTGAATTGAACTTCAAAGCCTTGTCCAAGGTCTAATTTTTTTTCCATAAATTCAATTTAAATTGGTCGAAAATAAATTTGGATTCAATTGTTGTTGGCTGACTTCCAGACAGAAAGACGTATGTGGAGGTCCCAGTGAGAGAGAGGATCCTTCATGTTGACAGATGCTAGTCCGGTCCTGGGGAATATCCTGTATGTGTATGGGTAGAATACTGTGTTCCAGGCAGCCCGCTGTAGTATTCACCAACCCTGTAGGAGAGAAAGATGATCACAAGTAAATCAATACGTTTCTCTATAGCATGTTCCTACCGGTATTGTCACAGAATTATGTTAATGTTTTAATTCTGGACTTCATCCGTTCTCTCGCTACATAAAGTATTATGAACAAACCCACAGAACAGAACATTTCTTATAGACAAAGTAACCTCAATCTATCTATTTAATTTCTATATTATACAGCTCTGCTGTACCTTGGCTATATGTCCTCCTTGTCGGCTTGCTCCTTCTTCAGAGCGTCTGCCTCGTTGGTGGAGTCCTCTATGTGAACCAACATGTCTGCCATCAGAGCTTCCTCCAGCCTCCTCCTCACACTGTGGACCAGGTCCTCCTGCTTCCTACATACACCACATAGGAGAGAGGTTAGGGAGCAATGGATTGATGACAGTCCTTGGCAGGGTTAACTACAACAAGGCCCCACAGCAGCTGGGTGGTGTTGTGCCCGACCACAGGGTTTACACTGAGGGAAAAAAGGATTTGATCCCCTGCTGATTTTTACTTTGCCCACTGACAAAGAAATGATCAGTCTATAATTTTAATGGTAAGTTTATTTGAACAGTGAGAGACAGAATAACAACAAAAAAATCCAGAAAAACGCATGTCAAAAATGTTATACATTGATTTGCATTTTAATGAGGGAAATAAGTATTTGACCCCCTCTCAATCAGAAAGATTTCTAGCTCCCAGGTGTCTTTTATACAGGTACCGAGCTGAGATTAGGAGCACACTCTTAAAGGGAGTGCTCCTAATCTCAGCTTGTTACCTGTATAAAAGACACCTGTCCACAGAAGCAATCAATCAATCAGATTCCAAACTCTCCACTATGGCCAAGACCAAAGAGCTCTCCAAGGATATCAGGGACAAGATTGTAGACCTGCACAAGGCTGGAATGGGCTACAAGACCATCGACAAGCAGCTTGGTGAGAAGGTGACAACAGTTGGTGCGATTATTCTCAAATGGAAGAAACACAAAACAACTGTCAATCTCCCTCGGCCTGGGGCTCCATGCAAGATCTCACCTCGTGGAGTTGCAATGATCATGAGAACGGTGAGGAAGCAGCCCAGAACTACGCGGGAGCATCTTGTCAATGATCTCAAGGCAGCTGGGACCATAGTCACCAAGAAAACAATTGGTAACACACTACGCCATGAAGGACTGAAATCCTGCAGTGCCCGCAATGTCCCCCTGCTCAAGAAAGCACATATACAGGCCTGTCTGAAGTTTGCCAATGAACATCTGAATGATTCAGAGGAGAACTGGGTGAAAGTGTTGTGGTCAGATGAGACCAAAATGGAGCTCTTTGGCATCAACTCAACTCGCCGTGTTTGGAGGAGGAGGAATGCTGCCTATGACCCCAAGAACACCATCCCCACCGTCAAACATGGAGGTGGAAACATTATGCTTTGGGGGTGTTTTTCTGCTAAGGGGACAGGACAACTTCACAGCAACAAAGGGACAATGGACGGGGCCATGTACCGTCAAATCTTGGGTGAGAACCTCCTTCCCTCAGCCAGGGCATTGAAAATGGGTCGTGCGTGGGTATTCCAGCATGACAACGACCCAAAACACACGGCCAAGGCAACAAAGGAGTGGCTCAAGAAGAAGCACATTAAGGTCCTGGAGTGGCCTAGCCAGTCTCCAGACCTTAATCCCATAGAAAATCTGTGGAGGGAGCTGAAGGTTCGAGTTGCCAAACGTCAGGCTCGAAACCTTAATGACTTGGAGAAGATCTGCAAAGAGGAGTGGGACAAAATCCCTCCTGAGATGTGTGCAAACCTGGTGGCCAACTACAAGAAACGTCTGACCTCTGTGATTGCCAACAAGGGTTTTGCCACCAAGTACTAAGTCATGTTTTGCAGAGGGGTCAAATACTTATTTCCCTCATTAAAATGCAAATCAATTTATAACATTTTTGACATGTGTTTTTCTGGATTTTTTTGTTGTTATTCTGTCTCTCACTGTTCAAATAAACCTACCATTAAAATTATAGACTGATCATGTCTTTGTCAGTGGGCAAACGTACAAAATCAGCAGGGGATTAAATACTTTTTTCCCTCACTGTATGTGTGTGTTTGTATAGGTGTGTGTGTACTCTACCTGATGTCGTCATCGGTCACCATGAAGGCCTTGCAGAGCGGCTGGGCCGTGTTGAGCCATACCCCAGGGTTCTTCTCCACGGCTGCGGTCAGCTGACCAGTGACGGGGGTGGGGCTGGTGTGCAGGGCACTGGCGATTGCAGAGAGCAAGGTCTTGTCTGAACACACAGGCCCAACACCTGGGGGGACATACACAGGGTCAGATAAACACACACAAAATCGTTAAATCACAAAACATTGGGTTTTATGTGTATATATTGAGACTCAAGTATTGGCTGCCGTGTGTACTCACCCTGTAGGCCCCTGGGAAGGTCCATGGTCTTCACCAGCTCTTCTGCGATGTCAAACGCACTCAGACCACTCAGTTTCCTCTCCCAAAACAGCTGAGGACCAACAGACAGTATGTAAACAACAACAACTAGACATTTGACTCTGAGCGCATCACATAATGTGATTCATAATTCACATTTTTAATCGCTGCCACTCAGAACATCTCAAAATGTTTAGCCACATTACAGGAAGGATTTAACAAGCTTTGATTAAGCTTGAGTAAGCTTGTTAAATTGAGCTACTCATCCCAATTTGCAATAATAAGCTTTCAAGGGCTAGGCCAGAGTAGATGACTTCATCTACCAACCATATGGCAGCAACGGAAGCAATAACATTACAGTATCATTACATCACAACCAATAAGAGCCGAGCATCACTGGACTCACCTGTCTTGGTTGGTCGACAGCCTTGTGGGGGTCGGTCTTCACTTTGTTGCTAGGGTGATTGGTTACCTTGGTGACGGGCTGTTTAAAGATAGACGCTGTCTGTCGGACTGGTAGGGTCGTGTTCAGGTCCGGCTTAACCTTCAAAACAGACAGAAACAGGTCAGGGATCATTGCTCAAAGGTCAAACAGATTACACATGATCCTGGTCTACGAAACCCTCTCTCACCTTGATCTGATGGTTGTTGTCATAGCGATGCTTGTGTCGGTTCCTGTGCAGCTTATTCATGAGCATCCTTCCTGCACGGGGGTCAATGGCGTGCACGTCCATGGTGTTGCCCAGGTAATGAGCTAACTGGGGCTTGCACAGGAATCTCTTTCCAGGGTCGCTAATGGGGCAGTAAGACAGGACATCAGAAAAAAAACATACGCATTGAATTGAAGCTATAACCCGAGGGCGACTTATCAGCAACCTGCAGTTACAACCTTTTAATGAGGTCCCTGCTGTCACTGAGGACAAAACAATATAATACAACTGTTTTATTTGGATTAAAAGGTAATGAACAGTCAAAATGATGTTTACATGAAATTTGATATTTTAAGGAAGCCAGATCAAAGTATGATGACCAAAGTATGAAAAATGACTTGTTTCTTCATTGATAAAGTTTGAGCATAAAGTTCCTGGTCCCCTCCCCATGTCAAACACTTGGATACATTATTAAGGGGACAAGGTGACATCCCCTTAACTCTCATTAAACCCCTACAACTTATCCAGAACACTGCAGCCCGTCTGGTGTTCAACCTTCCCAAGTTCTCTCATGTCACCCCGCTCCTCCGCACACTCCACTGGCTTCCAGTTGAAGCTCGCATCTGCTACAAGACCATGGTGCTTGCCTACGGAGCTGTGAGGGGAACGGCACCTCCTTACCTTCAGGCTCTGATCAGACCCTACACCCAAACGAGTGCACTACGTTAATCCACATCTGGCCTGCTAGCTCCCCTACCTCTATGGAAGCACAGTTCCCGCTCAGCCCAGGCAAAGCTATTCACTGCTCTGGCACCCCAATGGTGGAACAAGCTCCCCCACGACGCCAGGACAGCGGAGTCACTGACCACCTTCCGGAGACACTTGAAACCATACCTCTTTAAGGAATACCTGGAATAGTATAAAGTAATCCTTCTACCCCCCCCCCCCCCCCCTCCCTCCCCCCACAAAAAAATAATTTAAAAAAAGTGGTTGTCCCACTGGCTATCATAAGTTGAATGCACCAATTTGTAAGTCGCTCTGGATAAGAGCGTCTGCTAAATGATGTACATGTAAACACACCAATGCTAACATGATATTTACTTACCTAATTTAAATAAGTACTGCCTTATAACCAACGTCGTTTATATAGCTAGATAGCTACTCTACTGGTGGCAAAATTTTACTGTAGGGTGTAAGCAAATATAATTAAAAGTTTACCCTATTCGTCGATGGCAAAGATAATTATATGTTTCCCCTTTTATCTGTGTCTGGTGTTAGTTACTGGCCAGCATGGGAAAAAGGGAGGGGGGGTCATTCAAAACTCAGACGCAGTTGTCAAGTATACCCATCCGTGTTGCTGTGAACAGAGACGTGCCAAACGGGAGATGTATATAAAAAAAAATTGATATCATTGATGCAATTTTAATGTGGTTTGAGTTGCTTTGTGTTTCACCAAATTAGCTTGAGATGATTTTACTGCAACATTGCATCAAAGTTGCTTGACATAGGCGTTTCAAAGTGCTGTCAGTCAAAGCAAGCACCCTCCCCACTCAGCCTGTCTTTTCAAACGTACCTGTAGTTAACCATGCGAGGAAAAGTAATTTTCAGAATGACTGTTCAGGACCTTTAATTTATTGCAGTTCAGGAAAACATGGAAAATATAATTAATGCATATTAAAAACACATGATATGAATTGCTTAGTATGATCATAAAGAGCCTTTTATTGAAGTGAGAGAAAATGGGCTTTCGTGAACTAACACTCGCACTTGACTCCCCCCCTTACTAGCTCTGGCTTTGCTGATAGCTACTTTATTGCGGAAAAATGTACTTACTATGACTGTGCTACGTGGTAGTCTCACCTAGCTATCTTATGACGAAAGCACTAACTGTAAATCACTCTGGATAAGAACATCTAAATGACTACAATCAAGTAAAAATAAATGTTAAGAGTTATCAGAGAGCCTCAGCCTGCAAAAAAACCATTAGTAAACAAATAAAGTTAGCCAGCTAGTTGTCCTAGCTAACCAACAGCACTGTATACCCTCACAATACTGTTTAACTAAAAAGTCCACATGTGAATCAATTGACACAAATGTAAACATTGACCGTGTTCGAAAGCATCAAAACCGTGATGTATCATGGTTAAATCGGGACTGACTAATCTACTAATAATATTGAGTAGTTATTAATGATACATGGTGATTTGTTTGTCAGACTCGTGACCGACAGCTACTTGCTAATTAACGTTAGCTGACACAATGACATGTGTGATCACCTGCTATGGGGGGCTGATGTTAGTTTGTTAACAAACGATGGCTAGTATATGCGAACGTTAGCAAATCAATTTTTTTGCACGACCCAAATCAAATCAATAACGTTAATTGTCAAATTGTACGCAATCTGGAGACAGTGATCTTTTAACTTTGTTGTTACAGTTTTAGCTACTAAGTGGACGATTTCTTACTTTAGTGGCCAGCTAGCTACCCGGCTACTCCATCGAGTAACAACAATGCTAGCTAGCCAGCCAGCCAGACATGCTTTCTCTAATGATAGCTGCTTACTATTTGTCCTTCTTACAACTATTTTGAGCAAGTCGTTAAAACCCACCTTTTCCTCTCCATGCTTCTTGCAGGTTATGATTCCTGGAGTTTTGTCGATTAGGGAATCTGCATGGGGTAGAAAAATGTGTCTAGAAATTATTGTTGTGGATCTTCTTTCTGTTCAGCTGTCCTCTCCAACATGGTGTAATTGCGAACCGCAATTCGGGGCGTTTCTTAATATCAGGACACGCCCATTGGTGTTATGTCATTTATCAGTCATTGATTATCAGGAAACGCCCATTGGTGCCTGCCTTTGGTCGGTCCATTGATACCTGCCATTGGTCAGTTCCTGCACTGTCCCACGCATAGCTCAATCACAGAGTTTATTTGGCTCAATGGTCCCAGGGGTTTATATCAGGGAGACTTCCGGATTTCTGATGTCTCGTTTTAAAAGAATGCTTTAGATTAGATAGGAATTTGACTGTCTGTGGATGGCACATGGTGTAAAAATATTTATCAGCATGATCATTTAGGATTTTGTACCGCCATGAAACGGCACTAATAAACTTGACATATACTTTTGTCCAACACCTCAAAATCGTATTGCATGCTAGCAGATACCTACAAACTTCCAGTTCCAGCCATTGCGCTAATGCTAGTTAGCATTGGTGTGCGAAAATACCTCTAATCTCCTTCATACTGGACACAGACATAAAAATGGTATCTGCGAGTTCATCTGACTCTGGGGAAGGATATAATGTGCCTCTTTGCCAAAATCCCAAAATATCCCTTTAACAATAATAAAGTTTATTGAACTATCATTCAAAGTTGAAAACATTACCATGGTCTAACACTGACAAAACTAAAATTAGACTGTGTATGTGTGTGAATTTCTGGCAAAGTGAGAGGTTATAACTCTGATGCCTTCAGCTATTCTTATAGAAACCACACAATCTTAAAACATGATCTCTACCAGTGATGTAGTGTTAAACTCTGATCGCTGTCTGTGCATTTTTCCACAAAAGGTGGGTAAACCCTCTCCATGGTTGAAGGAAGATGTTTTTGGTTGGGGGTGATGTCGACCGGGGGGGAGGGGGTGGCTGAGGAGTATTCGCCCATACACGAGTAATAAAGGCCTAGTTCACTAATTGTGTACTTTTCGGGAACATTAATGCTAATATCAATTAGCTAAGGTTAGCTAGCTATCTTCTAACATAACAGCTTCCCAGTTATCTGTAGCTATCAGATTATGTCGCCTTCAAATAAATAAAGAATTGGATAGGTAAAGAGTCTAATTGAGCACATTGAGAAGTAACAAAGACATACAGGTTGAGGTTGCTATGTGGAAGAACTTACCAACATCATCTAAATCTATTGACCTCAGCTTTCTTTGTCGATAAAAAGATGCACTTAAAGAAACCGCCACGGGCCAATGGTGAGCTTCAATGGGTATAACTTGATATCAAGAAACGCCCATACCAGAAAACGCCCCGAATTGCTGTCTGCAATTACACCCTTCTCGTCCTTCCCGCTTTCTCGTGTCTAGCCTATGAAAGAGACGCCCAACTGCAGAAAATCTGTCTTCATCCAGCACGTGGCGTATTTTCGTTGTTTCGCACACCAAGAAAGGAGTTTTTGTATGGAAGTCAATGAGTGTCGAATTTGGTCAACAACAACAAATTATGGTTTATTTGCTACGAGAGGTTTGATCGAAAGAAGTTTCGTAATGCTTAAGTTGTTACGAGTGTACTGATATAATTAGGACACGTCACATCCCGCCAACTTTGAGAAAAAACACTTTATATCCGAGTTGTCTCGAGATGGCTATGCATATTCATGATATGAGGCGGTTGTGGAAAAAGTACCCAATTGTCATACTTGAGTAAAAGTAAAGATACCTTAATAGAAAAAGACTCAAGTAAAAGTGAAAGTCACACAGTAAAATATTACTTGAGTAGAAGTCTAATAGTATTTGGTTTAAAATATACTTAAGTATCAAAAGTAAATGTAATTGCTCAAATATACTCAAAGTAAAAGTATAAATAATTTCAAATTATATTAAGCAAACCAGAAGTCACAGTTTTCTTGTTTTTGTTAGTTACGGATAGCCAGGGACACTCCAACACTCAGACATAATTTACAAATGAAGCATGTGTTTAGTGAGTCCGCCAGATCAGAGGCAGTAGAGATGACCAAGGTTGTTTTCTTGATAAGTGCGTGAATTTGACCATTTTTCTGTCCTGCTAAGCATTAAAAATGTAACGAATACTTTTGGTTGTCAGGGAAAATGTATGGATTAAAAAGTACATTACTGGCAATGCAAATAGTCCAGGTAGCCATTTTATTAGCTGTTAAGAAGCCTTTTGGACCTAGACTTGGCGCTCCGGTACCACTTGCCGTGCGGTAGCAGAGAGAATAGTCTATGACTAGTGTGGCTGGAGTCTTTGACCATTTTTAGGACCTTCCTCTGACACCGTCTGGTATAGAGATCCTGGATGGCAGGAAGCTTGGCCCCAGTGATGTACTGGGTGGTACGCACTACC